TAGATTTGTACAGTAATATTTAAATCAGTGTTTACAGTTTGCGGTATAATGAAATCATTAAGCTGTACAAAATATCTTTAGCAAATCAGCTATATTTCTTGAACTGAATCAGCTAATCCCAAAAACAATATATATCGGTTTCAGGTAGCAGAGAATCTCCTTCATCCGTTGGAACCATGAAATAGTCGCGGTACTAGGTGTATTCGAGAATACAACTCGTTTAAAGTGGTACTTATGATATTCCTGTAGAAATGTATCAGTGGCCAATATGGATATCAAGTGTATAATGCAGATCGGTGTATGAAGTCGTTCAGCTATATGAGATACCTTCAGAAAATCAACTATATCTCTGGATCGCCCAACGTTGGAAGTCGATCGAAAACCGTTCAGGAATAACCTGGCACTAGAAAAAAAAAACTAATTTTATGGAGCGAAACGAGTAATCCACGGAATATCAGTTTGCTAATTCCCTCGACTATTCATTGGCATCCCTGGATATCCTCGGGGCGTAATTCATCGCTTTCTGAGGAACACTCGTGTAGTGTGCATTTGAGGTGTCAGCGAGCGATATAATATAGTTCGTAAGGTTCGCATGCTGTGTAGTATAGGCATGTTCTCTTCAGCGCTGAATAGTAGGTAGCAAACCGCAGGCTAACCTGAGGTGACAGTTTCGGGCGATTTCAATGTGGTTAGTGGAATCGAAGGGATTCGTTTCTGTTTCCGAATAGCTAGGTGCCATTGTATTTGTGTGTCACTTCACTTCTGTTCATAAGGTAACGATGAAGTATATGAATATGACTCTTCATCTCCTAAGCGTTATCGAGAATAGCTGATGCGGTGAATCAAATGGAAATCTCAGTTGTAGTGGCTGTTTTAGGCTGCAGTGAACAATGGGTGAGCCACAATTGTTAAAAACGGACGACTTGCATAATCTGAGAGAAGGTGAAATATTCACCGACCAGGAAACCGGCAAGAAATATCGAGTGAGAAAGACCGTATTACCTCAATATTCTACTGCAGGACCGTTTGGTCTTGGTATCTCATTTCATTTATTCAGATTGATGAGAGTTTTCGAGTGAAAACTGTTTACTTCCATTTTATTGAGCACTTCCAACTAAGGACTCAAATGTAATCACAATAAGTTATTGTGAAGTACTGCTGTGAGGGGTTTTATAAACCTGTTTTCATTTATTAGGAATTTTGCTTTTCATTCTAATTTGTAAAGTCCCATTTTTGAACTCGTTTCATGGAGCATCTGCATTCAAATGGTTTAAGGAGAACCAGATGATCGAACATTACGAAGAATTGAAGCAGACGTCATTATACCGAACAGGATGAATGCTGTTATCGAAAAAGTTGATTGCAAAGATCGTTATATGGGTAAGTTACTGTGTTTTTGATCCATATAATGAGAGAATGATGATGCCAGGTGAATTCTGCTGCTATTCCCTGAGTATTTTGAGCCGTGGTTATTTGTCTGATCGTTTTAAGTTCTCAGATTTGGTGACGTGCCTGCGAAACGATGGTGCTGTTCGTGGACTGCACTCATGTAAGGAAGTATTGGCTGTTTTCAACGCTTGTAAAGCTGAGAGGTGAGCACATATATCATGGTGTCCATGTCTTGAAAGTTCCAGTATCAGTTTTTTGTTCAGTTACATCTTTCACTGAAAAATGAATCGATCCTCTCAAATATTGTTTCGATAAGTGCAGGAATGGATTTGAAACTCTCGGCAATGTTTAGATTCCAAGATCCAGTATTTCGTGAACGAATGACGGAGGAATACCTCAATGAACGTTCGGAAGCACGGCGAACGGGCAAAACAGCAAAAGAGCGCAAACTGGATGAGTACCGTGAATGGAAGAGGCGTAATAATGCATCGTAATCATTATTGTGTGATAGAAATTTTGTCATGTTTTGTTTGTATAGTTTACCAGATGAATAAATATTATCCACCTAGAAGAACATGTGTGAATAATGTCGTATTATTGATGGTATTATTTTACCATAATGGCGAGTTTTTCATGTCGTATATTACAAATCTGATCGGTATGAACACTAGCACATTGTAGGAATATTTCAAGTTGGGATTTTTCATGCTGATTGAGTATATTTCTCTGTAGTACTGTGGGTCTGTTAGCAAGTCGGAGAATCAGTTGTTTTTTTAAACCTTCGTAATGCACCTGTTTAGGATGAAAGCATATGCTTATGACATTGATGAAGATTTGGCTATTGCTGAATGCATCCCTGTGACAGTACTTCGTAATATCAGAATCACTCCGTATTTTTTAGTACTACCGATTCACTTTCAGAGCGTTCCCTCCGCTTCGATTTTCTCTTCTCTGGAACATTTTTTTATGAAGATGGTTATAGTCCAACCAAACTACTTTCGTCATCTTCGTTGAATTAGTATTAGTCGGCTATTGCCATCAACGGAAGATCACTTCTTAAACAAGAAATGACAAATGTTGACATGCAGTGATATCTGACATTAGAGTCTTGCAACGTGTCTTGCCACAATAAAATATGATTGTGTAGTGGTCAAAAGAACAAGAAAATAATCGTTGCAATCATTAAGAATTGGTGTCAAAACGAAGAAGATTGTTACGGTTCTATGTCTTCGTCGGCGGTTCGATGTGATTTATGTAACGTTGAGCTATCATCAGAAGTGCAACTCAATGTGCACGTCAACGGTAAAAAGCATCAGAAAAAAGTGAATGAATTACAGAACTTCTCTACTCTCGCGAAACGTTCCGTTTTCATTAGTGGTGTACCAAAGAGTACGTTCATCTCTGAGCAGCAGGTATTTCAACCAGTGTTCTCAGCACTTATTTTGTTTCCTGATCGAAATCTAATATGTGACGGCCTTATCTTTGCTGATTATCAACACTTTACTCAGTTTGCTATTTCGACAATATCTTATGTGTTTTTTTTGCGTTTAAGATTCAAATTTCTCATATTTTCAGTAGCGTTCAGTATTTTTCGCACTTTCAAAAAACGATTTCATATTCACTTTAATATTCGAGTATTAAAAGTCAGCTATGGTCATACATCAGTATTACACAAATCCATTTGAATGCTTGAAGAATCAGAAGTATTTTTGTCCTTTCGTATTGTACTGATGAAATAATTTGAAAGGTAAGAGAATTGATGCAAAACTTCGGTGATATTGACCGTGTTCTGTTGGATCTGAAGAAAGGAACGTATGCAATTGTGGAATTCAATAATGAACTATCAGCGCGTAAGGCTATTGAAGAAGGACGAATACGTGTGAATAGTGTATGTTTCAAAGCTGACTTTCTTCTTCTCAAATCTACGAAGGAAATTGAGTTTTTCAAACGATTTTGGCAATCAGAAATCATCGAGATGCTTTTAAAGAATCAATCATCCCTAAGATGACTGAATCCAACCGTATTGTCCAAACACATTCCCAATGCATTCACTGTGTATTTGTTATATTTTTTAATCGGTGCGGTTGTTTCAATGATTTCCTACGAAATTTCCCATTATAAGTTTGCTGGAACTGCTCGATCGTTGAACGTTGCTGATTACAGCACTACGCTCTGATAAAGGAACGTAAAATGGAATTCGATAATACTGAGAAGAAATTTGAAAAGGAATCGATCGATGTTGATAAGCTTATCGGAAGAATATCAACAGTCACTCCGTCGTATTCGGCTCAGATCGACGAACTCATTCGTGATTTTTGTCTATCAGAGGAGCAGGTATCCATCGTCAGTCATCTGAACGTTTTCTTATGTGTTTTGTCAATTGCTTGCCAGTTGTTCAGCAACAATTTGTTCAGTGGTGGGAAGATTTTAGAGGAATCTGAGAATCTTTTGAAGATTTTAGCATAACAGTAGAGAAGACGTAGCTCTGCTCGTCTGGAAAAGTCCATCCGGATNTTCCATGTCTGAAAAGTTTTATCATTAGGGAGCAAATAGCCGAAATAATCTGAACTCGTTTCGGATACCGATTGGCCTGAAAATCGTTGAAGATTGTCGATTCAAAGAATTTGGAACAAATTTGGGCAAATTTGATTTGCAGTTAATGGAACGTTCCGAATTCGCAAAAATCTTGACGAATGCTCTGCGCGATTACTTCACACCGGAGGTATACGTATGTGTTTTTGGTTCATCGATCACCTCCATCGGCACAGTTGATTCTGATATCGTTAGTTCTTTTCTTCGGAGTTCGTATATTTATCAAGTTTGTGTTGACAAATAACACTTTATCAGTTTATTCGTCACTCACTTTCTCGTGATGAAATGTATCAAAGACAATGTAGTGGTTCGTTTGCTGTTTTGAAAGCTATCTTCTGTAGTGTTTGGAATCGCTGCAAAACAATGAAGCAGTGAATATAACTTAATTTCTTATCAACTTCTCATTTTTTGCGAATATCTCCCAAACTCTAAAATGTCTACATCACGATTAATAATTGTCATTTTTGTCTATTCGTTCATTTGTTCTGATATTTGTCTGTTACAGTTGATCTTTTGAGTTCGCATTCCGAAGAAAATCATTGGCAATTTTGTGACTTATTGAAGGATGCGAGTGTTTTATTCGAAGGTGAGCCACTGTTGAAAAGTGAACGAGTAAATCCATTTGCAAGAAATAAATTCACTTTGATGACAGCCGAAATGTCAACCATCCGTTCACGAAAAGTTTGCGCCGATGAGATCGCTCGATTAACACCAGCCGGTTCGCCATCTTTTTTTGACGTGTTTTTGAGTTTAACAGAGCGACTTTTATACTTCATTTGTTTTATTGAATAGTTTGGATATTATGATGTCATATCCAGCTTTTTCAAGGTTTATCCAAATCGTCGATATCGTTAGACATGAATTCTGTGGTGTGCCATTATGACTCGTTTAATATTCGAAATTGCACTCTTCTAGTTTGTCCGCCTCTGTCTCATAAGAGCAGTTAGATGAGCACTGAAAAGTTGAGATTGTTTTGAGCGTGATTTGGGGGTAAATTTGAAGTATGTCAATTCAATCTCGAGCTGTAACTTGGAATGCAATAAATGCAATTGCAGAGATTCATAAGGAGAAACTTGCAAAATTCTCATGATGTATTTCAATTTAGATCGTATTCGTTTCCTGACAAGGATCCTGAACGATATTCGTCGATGCGGCACGGCACCCGTCAGCGATCAGTACCCAGTTCTTGATGCGCGTTGTCCGCTCGTTCGTTTTCTTTTCAATAGGTTACGTTTTCTGTATTTGAAGGGCCGCAGTCAGTTATACTTGAAAGTGCAGCAAAATTATGTTCTGTTTGTTCATTTTTTGAACTGCGCCATTATGACTTTGAACTGTGTCATTACGTGAAAACAAAACATTCATTTATCCACGTATCGTTAGGGACATTAATATGAAATATCTAAAACACTTACTTATTCGGTATAAAATTGTTAGAGGAGGAAATTTTGCTAGAGTTCTTTACGATGGAGGATGATGCTCATTATGAGATAATGTACTATGTATCAAAGAAATCAGCTTTATAAACATTCCAAAAAATTTGACGATAATGCCATTTGGGTTTCCTTATTAAAGGCAATTGTTCAAGAGGATTTGTGCATTAGTTACGTTGTGAAGGAAATATTTTTACGTGAAAACAATTTCACTCTCAAAACTCTTGACCATAGTGAAATAGGTGAATGCAATTGAATTCAGAAAACATACATTCGATCTGTCAGTCGATAATCGATTGGGTATCACCAAATCGTGTTGGATCAAAGAATTGATTGCTGCTGATTCTTCGTCAAATTTACGTCGCTTTTTGATTGCTGTTCGTTTTTGGGCTCATGTGAATGGTCTTATGAGGAAAGATGAAAAAACGGTTAGTCCTATTCCAATCTCCCTAGTAGATAGTCAGGTATCCCCATTCGTTATCGCCATTCATTAACTGCTAGTTGTAATTAATTTTTAATTACAACGGGTAGTCAATGAATAGCGATAATGTTAATAAGTCCGATGTAATTGGTTCCATGTAATTAATTCGTTGTAATTTTGTTCAATGACTTCTGTTGTATTTATAATGAATTGAAATTAGTTGAAAGTTTCAGCGGAGTCATTTGAACGCATATATCTGGAATATGTTGAGCATTGTTTTTCTGCAAGTGCATTCGTTACTGGCACCGGTGAATGCCTCCTCGGAACCGATTTACTTCGACGGATGGCAGTGTGATTTCATCGTGAATCAAACGAACTTTTCTAATTTGAACATTAAAAACTTTCTCAAGGTTATATTTCAAATGCATATACCATTTTTCTGAACATCACTTATAGCTGATCTTTGAAAACTTGGGTCAGCATTTAAGATTATCTACAGTAGATTCACCGCTTTGAGGTCAGCAATTTTTTGACGGTCATGATATCTATTCAAACGTAGATCAAATTTCAGGATCTTTTCGTATGGTTCGTTCAGCTGAAACTAAGAGATCACGTGTTGTGCCCAAGATTGGGTGTTATTCTTACCAAAGAACAGTTCAGCGCTAAGTTTCCGCAAAAAGCAGTGCAACAATCATTTAAGTTTGCTACCCTCAACATTCAGGTACTCCTTTTTGTCTCTTTCGTGGCTTATATTTATTGTCTGAGCCTTTTCTGTCATTGTTTCACCTTGAATGTGTACAAGATAGGATATTAGAGAAAAGGATCGATGAAAGTTTCGGGAATCAAAGGGAGAGAATATGTGTGAATATGTTTGCGAATGAACGATATATTGCTTTCAATTGTTCCTTGTATTCATACTCGTTCTATGTTTCCGAAAAGGTGAAATTTAGGATCCATTCGAACTGTCTCATAACATTTCGAATTTGGTCTCAGAGAAGTATTTGACAGCAATGCGACGTGAAATGATGCTTACCATAACAGTAATCAAAGAAAATCCGAATAATTTCGTTGCTGCGTTACGCCAGGATTCTGTAGCATCTTCACATTACTCTAATGGTAGGTATTTATAATGAGTGGATGTGATATGCTCATTATTACACTCTCTCATTCGATCAAACTTTGCGTTTTATCATCTCAAACATAAAAATTCATTTAAAGTGCTCATCTTCTTGTAAATTTTTTTGTTTCAGTTAATGTTTTTGCATTGTTTCGAATTCATTCTTTTTAATTTTGGACTCGGAAAAGTGTGTGGTGATGTGATGAATAGCAATAGTTGACTCGTTGATTATTTGATGGAATAAAGATTTTTAACTTCATCAATGGCTTGCAAGAAAATGCGCAATAAAACTGAGTGATTAATTGAGGATGTAGAAGGATTTTCATTTTTCAACCAATGAGCAGAAAGGCTCATTGAAAATTTTTTAAAATCAAATTCAGATCTGGAAATCGTTCTACCGTGCGGTGATATAAATGCAGTTGACTGTATGAATATATTGGAAAGAGTATTAGTTGAATTGTTATTGTGCGATACGATCGATGAGCCTAAAGCAAAGCTGACGCGGAAAGATATGACATCGTATCAACACGAAGTATCGAAATATTTCGAAATAACACAACGCGTATGGATTGGTAGACGGAACAAACGACGTTTCATCGTCGCAAGCAATCCAGGATTATCTGATTGGCAAATAGAAAAGGCGGTGAGAGTTCCGTCGTTACGATTCAAATTTCTGAATCTTATTTCTTAAAGTTGTTCTCAATAGTTTTATTTAATTATAAGGGATTTTGGCCACGATCATCTTAAGAATACGATCATGCTTCACTTTAAAAAATAAAATTTAGGCACTCTTAGGAGTGCTCATATATCCTTTTAGTGAGTTTACGGTTCTTTTCAATTAGCCGAACATTCCATTGGAACAGTTTTGTATGGATTTTTGCTCTTAGTTTCATATGAGTAAAGAATGGCAGCGTAAGAATTTTTATGATGTTTTATGTTACGTTTGAATGGTTTGGTATGAAAAGTGAACGTTATCATAATGCCAACCAGAATAATCTCTCGAAAGCACATATTTTAATGTAATTTGGAATTCAGGTATCCAAAGCGATTTGTGAAGACAATTCTTCGGATGTATCGCTTCGTTTTTATTTGATGATTGTTGTCGAAAATGGTAATGCAGAAATACGCTTAGCACGTCAGTGGGGCAATGAACATGATCTGCACAACTTTTCACATTTCCTCTCTCTTTTCTTACCGAAATATTTCAGTGAATCTATCGCAAGTTGTGGCACAGTTCCTATGGAGCAGTAATTTTTTAATATATGTTTTATTGAAATAGTTTTGTTGGTGGGTAAACATTTTTTAAAATTATTATTAATTTATATTGTTCAAAAATTTATTATTCATTGATGTACAACGATTGTGACGAGTGGTATAGATAGGTTTTGGGGTGATCGTTGCAACGTATTTATTGTTTTTTGCAAGATAATTGGGCCTGAATTTGGTTTCCGTTGAAATACGTTATTATGGCGTGAATTGATTGTTTTTGTTGAGAATGATATCTTCAGGAGAACGATATTAGATTGGAGATAAGTGCCTTTAGCGGAATGAATTCTAGAATTTCACCTATTCGTCTGTTTTTCTATTTGTTCCATATACCTCTTCGCAATGATTATCTACCCCATTGAATTTTTACTCTCTATCCGAACAGCTAGTTGTTCTTGTCATGACTGCAACAGAATATGAAGTATACTTGTATAAATAATTTCTGTTATTTTTGTATTTGTCGTAGTTGATTGCGCACCATTTGTAGTTTCAGAGAGCGCTTTCTGATGATCGGAAACGTGTGTTTCATTGATGGTACCGTAATACTTTATATGCTGGCATTATCGTAAATGTACCGAAATGTTTATGTACCAATAATTGTTTAGTAATGCTGAAGGTGCAAGTGATATCTGTAATAGTGTTATTCATATTTCGTTCATTGAAGTCAAACATTCGAGACATCAGAAGTTTGATGAAGCACTTAAGGCATAGACTTTTTTCATCCGTCGATATTTGCGAATGATGTTTATTTAGCTTTTTTAAAATGTATTCACTTTGAAAAGTTTCAAATCTCAAAAAGCATTTCCTTAAACGATGATCTCGTTGTGGGCTCGGCTCGTATCCCTACCGATTTTTCCTTTCTTGTTTTCCGTTGTGTTCTCGCCGTTACTTTGTTTCGTTTGTTGTATTGTTATTGCTTTTTGAAGAGTTTTGTTATTGAAAAAAGAAATAAAATGCGTAAACCAATCTCAGGGTATTTTAGTGTAACGGTTATGTTGATTGCATTGGCGTATATCGCTTTATCGTCAATTATTTGATCGCTGAAAAAGTTGCTCAGAATGATTCTATAGTCAGAGAGAGTTTACATGTTATCCTCTCAGATTCAAGGATCAAATAGCAGAGTATGTGCATTGTGACATTGTTGATGAAAAGTGTCATCAACAAATTTGTTTCATTCGAGTGATAACGAAGCGTTAACAATAGTTTTAGTAATGATGATGCCCTTCAGATTTCATAGCAGAAAGGAGATGGATTTGAATGAGGAAATAAATGTGAATGGTATGACGCAGCCAGAATTGCTGAGTATGACCGTCAATGAAATTGTATCAACACTCATACAAGCGCATAAGAACAATAAAGATGTTGACTTGAATAAACTGAAATGTGCCGTAGCGCGTAAACATAAACTGGCAAAGCAACCGAAACTTGTCGATATCATCGCTGCCGTTCCGCCCGATTATAAGGTACTTACTCTTGAACTCTGTTCATTGTTGCCGTGCATGATACAATGCCAGTCAATTCGGCTACTGCGAGTTCATTTGCACTTCATCAATTAGCATATTTTGCGTATTGTTAATTTGTTCCATTTCGTGTAGCTTTTTGAATTATCTTTTTATGCAATCATTCCATTCTCTGTCAATGAACGAACTCGTTCATCTTTTAGAAAATATTGATCCCGAAACTGAAGGCAAAACCGATCCGAACGGCGAGTGGTATAGCTGTAATCGCCGTTATGTGTAAACCGCATCGATGTCCACATATCAACTTTACTGGTACATTGCTTGCTTCTTTTATTCAGCTTTGATGATTTGATGAATTCATATTCCTCACTACGAGACCTTTAAAAGATGCAATAATTTGGGTTACTGCATCCGTTCATTGTGTTTTCAAATTCGAATATTTCATAACGCGTCAACAATGAAAATGTCTATTCCAACAGAGCGCAGTCTAATAACTGACTGCGTAACCGGTTGTTTTCCTGTCGTAGAGTTTCAATTCCTGCCAAAATTTCAACCTGATTGAGTCGTACAAATAAATGCTTATACTTGCGATTCAAGGTAACATATGTGTATATTGTCCGGGTGGGCCGGATTCCGATTTTGAATACAGCACGCAGTCATACACTGGTTATGAACCGACATCAATGAGGGCGATTCGTGCCCGATATGATCCGTTCCTTCAGACCAGAAGTCGTCTCACACAGTTGCAACAACTTGGTCATCCTGTTGATAAGGTTCATCCATATGTCTCGAGATATTCTCTTTTGTAACTCCTTATCTCAATTCGACTTTAATGAGCTATGTGGTACCCTCGCTTATATTTCTCATAATTTCAAGTACAAAATCGAGTGTTTCTCAGGTTGAGTTTATCATAATGGGTGGCACGTTCATGTCGTTACCACAAGATTATCGAGAGTATTTCATCCGAAGTCTTCACGATGCCCTCAGTGGACATACAAGCTCAACGGTTGCTGAGGTATTGAATTCATATTGCACAATGCTACATGAATCGCGATATTCGTTTGTGATGCAAATGTTCAAATCGTTGTTCTGTACTGGTGACTTGAATAGTCATTAATCGGCACAATGAGTAATGATTTTCAGGCTGTAGCGTTCAGTGAACGAAGTCGTATAAAATGTATCGGAATAACAATAGAAACGCGGCCTGATTACTGCATGCCGAGACATTTGGATGCGATGCTATCGTATGGATGTACACGGCTTGAGATTGGTTTGCAGTCGACCTATGAAGATGTTGCACTGCACACGAATCGAGGACATACGGTTGGCTATCTTGCTCGTTTCTCATCACATTTAATCCAGCTTATCGGCACTTCGGCCTAATAAATTAACGTACTGATAATTCAGGTGGCCTCTGTATGTGAAGCGTTTCAAATGGCCAAAGATGCAGGTTTTAAAGTGGTTATTCATATGATGCCGAATCTGCCGAACGTTACCGTTGAACGTGATCTGCAACAATTCAAAGAGCTCTTCGAAAATCCAGCCTTTCAACCGGACGGCCTCAAAATCTATCCAACGCTTGTCATTCGTGGTACTGGACTCTACGAACTATGGAGAACTGGCAAATATAAGAGCTATCCACCAGAGGTATAGAAATTTATGAAAATATATGGAATCCAAGATTATCGCCATTCTGACATTCCTACTGCATGAATTTCGTGCTGTTTTGTTTTGTTTAATGGAGCATTTGCTACTTGGGAGAAGTGAGCATTTATCCGGTATTCATGGTGGCGGCTGATAGGATTGATTTGATGTCTTCTCTGTGATCCAACGTTTCAACATTCGTAGGCTGATTCATTTCAGTTTCTTTTCCGTAACCATTTCAGCATTTATTGGAACATAGTTCATAGAGAAATCAAAGCTCACAAAAATGTTTCCTGTTTCCTTTAGGAAGGCAAATTTGGAAAACTAATTGATTAACAAAAGTCAAGTAAAAATAATAGAAAGGAAAATTATGTCAATAGAAAATGAACTCATTATTTATTTATTTACAACTCATTACGAGCTTACGCGTCTTTGTTGTTATAATAGCAGTATCAAATTCTCCCTTCCTTATTTCCGAGCAGCTAACAATAACAGCGCTGGAAATCATCTATCTTCATGCAATTCTAACTTCGATTATTGATTTGGTGAGCGTAGAGATTTGAGGTTACTGTTCCACATTCCCAATGATTTCTAGGGCGAAGGACTCAAAAAGAGCCCGAAAATACATTCTGTTTGATCGATTGAACATGCATCCAACAAGCTGTTTCGAACAACCAACAGTAATGAACCAATAACTTTTGCAAATCAGTAATAAACAATCTAATTAAATGATCCATGACGATTGGCGTATCAAACATCCCAAGCGAGCAGTGATGAATGCCCGTTGCCATAAATAATTGGCCAGCTTGCCTAGGCAGCGGGGGGACGTCAACCAAGGCTAAAACAGTGCGAACGAAACGCGAGCATTGTGGCCAGCAACGTTACAAACGTTTGATAGCTTGGCCAATCCAGAAGTACTAGTCCATTGAATAATTGCAACTGTGATAAATATTTTGCCGATCGTCCAACCGCCCAGTGTCCGAATCACCACTCCCTAATTGAACGTATCGTTATCAAATAGATGTTCCAGGTACTGGTCGATCTAGTTGCCAGAATTCTATCGTTAGTTCCTCCATGGGTGAGGGTCTATCGAGTTCAGCGGGACATCCCAATGCCATTAGTCTCTAGTGGTGTTGAATACGGTAATCTCAGAGAATTAGCTCTGAAGAGAATGGATGAACTTGGTCTGAAATGTCGAGATGTACGCACACGCGAAGTTGGTATTCAGGTTTGTATTGTACTTTATTACTTTTGTTCCTTAATTCCCACTATTAATATCACGATAACTTTTAACCTGCAAACTTTTTTCTTTTGAAAGTTTGCACTGAATGTCATTGACTGATCGTTATTAAAAATTCCATTTGACTCATTTTCTCCTTGAAAAGTTCAGTTGTTTCCATTGCATAATGAAAAATATTTTAATTTCTCTCTCAACTATCGTAACATTTGAGATGCGTTTATGGAGCAAACTTTTCACATAACCAATTTGTTTGATTTTCAAATTGAATCTCGATTCCTCTATCGGAAGTATTGCGAATATATACATTGTGTTCGTCGTGGATTTAGGAGATCTCTAAAGGAAATTCATTGCATTCGAATGGAACACAGAATTTTATGCATCGCTGTTTATGCAATCTGCAGAGCATCGTTTCATATTAATAATCATTATACTGAGTACCATATGAGCTTAAAGTTAATGGTTAATTGGGCGTTGAACGATTGTTCAGAAATTTTCATAGCGCATTCATTAGAAGCCCGATCGAGGACGACCCACACCCGCCAGAATCATGAAAATTGGTATTCTACTTGAATTTATTTATAATATTTCAAGGAAATTCATAATAAAGTGAGTCCATATGATGTTGAATTAGTGCGTCGTGATTATGAGGCGAACGGAGGATGGGAAACGTTCATCTCATACGAAGATCCTAATCAGGTTTATTTTCTTTTTTCAAAAAGTTTCCAAATTAAATTCAAAATTTTCTAGGTAGTAAAGTTTAACCAAATTTCCTTTTCTCAATTATTCATGTTTTACTTCTTTAGGCTGAAGAGATTACTAGGAATCATTTTTCTATGTTCCATTCTTTTCCATGTATCTGTTTGATGTTGTATTATTCATTATCTGTTAAAGTCTTTTCTCTCGGTTTCAAAAAACAAAAATCCGTCTTGTTTTTAGATAATTCGGTTATCTTTTTTGTTCCATCCAAGACTTTGCACTCCTTTTTCAGATAGTTTTGTAAGAATTTAACAAAAAAAATTATTCTATTTCATAACGTCATTCATTGACCTGCGACATTNTTGCGAATCAGCTTGTTCATTCAAATTCGATGCGATTTATTTTTGACTGTTCGAATGTTGTGAAAATTATCGGCTTAAGTTTTTTTTTTCACTGAAGAACTGCAAAACCGAATTCACTCGCGCTGAGCGCATCAAAGACCACTCGTTGATCATCTTTCTTTACAACATGAATTATGAAAGAACAAATTCGAACTGTGAGACACATTTATTTGGCAAGTGGTCGGTGATATTTCTGTGAATCACTCGACTGCCAGTTTCGGGAATATTATTAATATTTCACGGCTTTTATTGTATTTCATAGTTTTCTTCTTATTTCGTACCGAAATTTATCGGCCACTTTCGAGAAGCGTAAAGGTTGATAAAGATAGATTCTAGAGAGTTTTTGCATTGTATTTGTTGATCACTGAACTTATCAGCGAGCTTGATTCATTCTCGTTCACAAAGCGTTGCCGGTGTATATGAATGTCATGTGAGCATATGCATGCAATATGAAACTTTGCGTTCTTTTCAACTTGTGCCTTGAACAGAGCACAACGCTTAAATGTTATGTTATCGTGCGGTTTTGATCTGGAATATTCATCCATTCATCAAAGTGCCAAACGAACTTTAGAACATATGTTCGCTCATAACTGATGGTTAGGTTTCACCTTCATTCAGAGAAAGTTTCAGAACGGTGATTTCAAAAAGGTACCTTTGGCAGATTGATATTGAGCTGAAATTTGTCGGTTTTTCCGGAATCGTGATCGTATAAAAATGAACCGAATCTAGCACATAATACATTCATTTAACGTCAACGATCTCATATCGTTTCCAATAAATTGTTTTGCTATCTTTTGTTATTTGTGGTAGCTTAGTCATTCTTTGATGGGGCTCGTTGAGAATGAATTTGAAATTTTGAATTGTTTGCGCTGCGTTCGAATTCGATTCAACGTTTTTTACGTGGACATGTGAGATTTGCTACTTTGCGTTAATCATTCAATCGCAATTAGAAGTCAGAGTGTTCTTTTAAGGATTCGTTAAGCGATGTTTACAGTTCTCATCATTTTGCCTTCTAGTCGAATCATTCAACGGTTTCAAATTTCTAGAATGCCGCATTTGAAATGCTTCGTAATAATTTGGTTCAAACACTTTTTCTGTTGAGAACTCTGTCTCTTTCACTGAAATTGACTCTTGAAGTGTTGAACTTTCGATAATGCGATATCAGTTCATTGAAACATATTTAATTTTCACGTACTGAAAGTTATCCTACGATCTAATTAGCCATTCCAATTTTTTTCTAGAAAATCTCATCTTTCGCTCGCATTTTATCCGTATAATATTTCGCACTTGAAGTACTGCCCTATGACGATGTATATTTATGCACGTATGCAGATTCGATCGTTTATTTCGTTATGACATTTTGAAATGATATTAGGATGATTTCTTCAATGCAGGAGACTATGACATCGTTTTAAAGTCTCTAAAGAACAAGCGAAAGAAATTCTGTGATTTCTATTTTCTTCTAGTATAAACTGTCTATTACCGGCTAGAAATATGTAGATTAATAATTTTGTAGCTTTTTATCTGTTCATTACGTGCACAATTCACCGTATAAAAAAATTTTCAGAAAGTTACATACAATTTGAATATTGTATAATGTTGTAACGTCGACATACACTGAAAAAGCATAGCGATTTGCAAAAGGTGTTCGAATAAAATGATAAATTTCAGGATATTCTGGTTGGTTTGTGCCGACTTCGTAAATGCTCTGAAAAAGCTCATCGACCTGAATTGCAGGTGAGTAATTGCAGTTAACGTGTTTTTTATTTGAGCTGGCCATTTACGATGCATCGATATATAGTCGCAATATGTATCGATATATCGGGATATACATACGGTATATCGAATTGTTTCAATTTAAATGTGTAATTGTTTCAACTTGATTCAATGCTATTTCAGTTTGTGTTGATCATTTTTGCTTATTCAATTTCAAGATATTTTTTCGATCTCACGAGCCAAATTTTATAACTAGTGGTATATTAGTGGCAATTGATTGCTACTGCGTACACTTCACTCTGTTAGATGTTGTAATCAGGCCTGGAATTGTGTTAATTCGGTAGAAAGTCGTTCATTGAACCGAGAGAAGAGTTCTAGATAACATTGGTCAGCTGTTTAAGAGCAGTTGAAATACGTGGCATGGAATGTTGTTCATGAATGTTGTTGAATGTTGTTTATGAATGTTGTTCATAACATTCATAAACATCATGGAATGTTGATTTGGGCGTTTGATGAAAATGAACAGCACTGGCTCGCGTATTGTGATCTTTAGCGGTAGGATATTGTAAAGTTCTGGATTGTGTTACACATTCAGAAAAAGTGATACATGTAATGTGATTGGTCACTGTGAAAGGCTTTTGATGACTGCTTTGGATGGGAATAGATATACAAAGAGTTCTTTACAGCTGAGTAGCTGCAATGGATTTCTTCTAGTTTCAGAAATAATAAATCTGAAATTCGTCAAATTTCATCTGTCCAGCTGGAATTAACCGCTGAATAAAATTCCCTAGGAACGTGAACTTTATTGAACTGGAATGCCGTGATCATTTTAAGAATTTGTTTAGAACAATTTGACGCATTTTTTGCTAGCGCTGATAATTTTTTCTCATAATTTTTGTTGCATTCCTTGTGAACTGCTGATCAAAAGGAAATTAGAAGGAATTGTTTAAATGATGAAAATTTAAAAAAAATAAAAAATGTGAAATTGTTTAAAAGAGATGAATGAGACGATAAAAGTGATCATAGATTTGAGATGCTCATAGCGATTATTCAAAATGAGATGTTTTTGCGAACAAGTAAATTCAAAATTCATTCCTCCTCCGAATATTCTTTGCTAATATTTCATTAATGAATATTTAATTTGCTAATATTAATAATTGTTAATATTTAATTTCATTGGTGATCTTCATCTCTTGAACCTCGTGTGGCTTAAAGCACTTTTGATTACCTCTTCGTGGTGCCATATAATCGAATCGATTACGATATATACTCCAATCATGCTGATGCCTATTGATCTTAACTCTCATCTCTGTGAAATTCGTCTTCAAATTTGAATCATTCATAAATGTATCCAAAACAACGGATTGATGAATTTTCTGACTCATTGNCCGTCTTTTCATTGATCAATGTTATTTGCGTCATTACTTTTCATATCGATATTCTGATTGCAGATCTTTTAAAATTGTGAATGTTCTCTCGTTAACTTTTCAAAGTGTTCACCAAAATATATTAATGTCATCAGTAATGGAATTTCATTAAATCAGACAAAAATTGGAAGGAGTTCAGTCGTGTTGTATGTCAATGGAAATTGAATTGAGCTCAAAGCTCTGTCCGAAACGTTCGAGCATTTAGAGATTTGATGAATGTTGTAAATATCAACCAGATGCTTCTTTCTTAAATATGATTGATTTTTGTATTTTATGGGCGTTGACTACTAGGTGATGTTCACTCTAGATTACGTTTACTTATGAAATATTAGCAAAGAATGTTCGGAGAAAAAAGGATGAATCTTGAATTTGTTTGTTCCTGAAAAGAGATAGTCAGCAATTGAAACTCATTACTCAATATCACATTCCTACTTGACACCTTGCTTTTCCAATAATAGTAGTGCTAAAAAAATAGTAACAGTAATAATAACAATAGTAATTCTATGCACAACAACAACAATAACAGCTAATAGCAATAGTAAACATGATGTTAGCGATAATCACGATAAGAATTGAATATTGAGTGCCATGATAATGGCAGTGTTACAACTATTAAGGTTTGTTGTATTTTCAGCAGCGATCCTTTCTTTGTGAACTGCTGATCAGTTGAGAGTCAAAAAGAAGTCAGAAAGAATGTAATGAACATGAACTAGTGACATGTTAGCATAACGAATGCTTACGGTAGCATTCATTACGTTAACCACTAGTTCATGTTTATTGCTTTTATGGCTATATCAGTATGATAACATCGTCATTGGACGGAGTGCTATTTGTCACAATCAGTTTCCATCATATTCACTTTCTCGCGCAACTGCATTCGAAAAACTATTCAAAATCACGATCTGTTGTGCAATTTCAGCATTGAACTTTCCATTGCATTCACTTTGCATTCTTCTACTCACTTTATTAAATGAAGCACACAGAGAGAAGAAAGCGAATCCACAAGCAACCAATCAACCAAATGCAGTTTCGTTGTTGTAAAAATTGGTGAATGAAATATCCTCCAACCGAATGGACTGGAATGCAGTCATTATCGTTCTTTCAGATCGATTTAAAATTCAAGAAGNAAGAAGCATTTTTGAATTGATCCTGAGCAATAATTGCTCGAAAAATTGATTATGGAAATCTCACAATCGGGTTTCGTACAACCAACTTCGACAAACTTGTGGATTTTCGTACAAGTCTGATCATGGTTTTTGTCTGTACTTTTTGGAGCCAAATCCGATTCCTTAGGGTTTTCCAGTATTGTGGCCAGCCTCGCAGATCTAGAATCCATTTTCGTGAATGCTTATGGAAAATTTCCAGATCTGATTCAGCACTATGCTTCCTTCTCCTCTCTAATCACCATTTTTCTTACCAATTAGCAGGAATTTTGGCCTTTCCTCAAACCACTCATTGAGACGTTAACAGTGGAAATGTTGCTGATGATCAGTTTGAAACGACGCGAACATTGCACTGTTCTCATTCATTTCGAATTGTCGACTCAAACACAAATGCTTGCTGGTTTTTGGTGCAGTTCGAATTTTTATACTTAGCTCATTGCTTATGATTGAATCATGATGGAACATTGTGCTCACAGTCAACTTTTCGCTTGAGTGCATTGCATCAGCGGGTTAAAAAATATTTGTTACGCATGCATTAGAGCATGCCGGGTTCTCTCTTCATGAACATTGTTCATATTCACCGAGAAGTTTATCTGTTTTAAAAGATATGCCCGGCGGTGATGCAAAATGTTCATATATGTAAATTATGTTTGGATGGTGGTCGCATGCACGATCGAATGAGCTAATTTATTCGTGAAATATTCAGTAAAGTCTTTTTTATTGAGCTATTTTGGAATAAGTGACAAAGTTCGGCAAATATTCAGCGCATTGTTCCCCCATTTCTGCTTCTTTTAGATCATTTGTAGTGTTTTTTCCGTTAATATTTGGATTTCTACAAAGGTAGACCATCGTCGGTGCTTATACTGTTTGGGCTACTGGTTCAAGTTATTCATGCCTTTAAAGTTGGTGTGAAGTGTAGTAATTTATTTGTGATCCAATTCCGTTTCATGAATTTTCCCAGAAAATTTGTGTTCTCGCTGATTTCAACTCAGTTTCATTTGCGTTCAGGCCATTGAAATTCCTCGGAAAGGTAGCACTAATATAACTTATCAGTTAATGAAATTGAATTGAAAGTGATAATTCGAATCACTATGGGAGTGCGATCTCACACACCGGAAACGGGAGTGCACTTTTTATTTTGAAGAATACAACTGGAAGCAGTTTAGCAGCAGGAAATAAGTTCAGAAATAAAATGTTATTATAATGTAATCATACAAAGAACATATTGATGGTCTTGTTTCCAGAATTTCGGTCTATTTGTTTTCGTTTCCTGTTTTCGGTGTTCATTGAACAATTGTTTCAGCAGAACTTTGAGTTTATTTCGAATTCAGAGATTTTAAAGGAAAAAGTGCGAAATCATCATTCGAAAACGTATTTTCTGGAAGTTCGAAACTTCTTTGTTGTTAGTGCATTAAAAAATTCGGAAATCCTCATGGAGCTACTCAGATGGATATAAAATCGATGAAGCAACATCGCATCGCATATGATCGTCCATTAATGCCATGTTTGCATTGTTCTTCTAATCACTTCCGAGAAACACTGTGTTCATAGCGATAGCTGAAAAAATTTAAATCGTTTAAGTTAATTAGGTGATTTTATGGAAGTTGTTTTGTTGATTATGAAACTTCGTATTGTTTGGGTTTTTTAACATTGCCTCTTCCTACAATAATCATTAAATTCAGTCGCATTCTGGAATCAGTTGTACTTAAGACTTTCATTTTCGCGCATTCCATATGTGGTCATGCTCCGTATCGTGGCAACCACTGAGCATGTCCATCATGTTTGCACCTCTGATTATAAGATGCAAGGTGTTTTTATGCGCAGGTGTGCGTTTCCATTGTGTGACTAAAATGAGCGCCTAGCGTTTTGTAAGAGCTGTGGAAGATTGAGGAAGAGTTCCGATACCGAAAAAATCAAAAATTGAGCGAAACCCATTATCAAGTCCTCAAAAATTGAGCGAAACCCATTATCAAGTCCTCAAAATGATGATTTTGGAGATGCGTTTTTTTGGATGTGTCTGTTCACATAGGAAGAAATGTATATCGGAGGATAATTGATGCGTTGCTGCGTCCCAACTAAATGTTTTCAGATTATCATCTCTCCGCGATTATTGACATCCAGAAAGTAGCGTAAGCAGAACAGTCTTCCGAAGGGAATAGAAAAGTGAGTTCAGTTATCTGTATGGTGCAGTTGTACACCTAGTCACGTGAATTGCGCTTGCAAAATCTCTGTAAATTTAGTCCTTGCTTTTGTTTCATTTACTTACGATATGAACGATTGTAGAATAAAATGATAAGTGGTGACTTCATTCAGTATATTCATCGTGTTTTAGTGTGCCTGTAAAGATTTCATCTATATGAAAATAGTTCTCATGTGGAACAAAAGAGAGTATCAGTATAGAAGCCTGACTGAAGACGAAAAAAGAATCAGTATAAGTGGACGCCTGACTGAACGAAAAAACTTTGTAGTCTTTTGAAAAAAGCTCTGAAACCGACCAATCATTTGATGTTTTTGAGAGCGGCATTACTCAACGTCAGTATCTGCAGAAGGACTAGATGGACGCGAGAAGCTGCAATTTTCTTTTTTGAGTTATATAATGCCGTTATGCACTTTCAAAGATCCATGCTTCGAATGAAACTTGAATGAAGTTTGGTGAATTCTATAAGTTGATGAATTATATAATCTGAATGAGGAACTGATCAAATTTGTAATTTTATATACAGTTTTTCCTGAAAGAAAAAAAAANAAAAAAAAACTATCAGCAGTAAATTTGCAATCTTCAGATTTATCATTAGTATATTTTAAGCAAAATTTTCCCAAATATCAGGCGACCTTAATAGTATGAATTCAAAAAACTCCTCTTATTCCTTATTGCTTTCATAATCCACATTTCAGTAGAAACAGTGTGAATAAGTGTTGCCCAAAATTGTTATCTCGGCTAATGAACTCATTAAAATCCACAAGAGAATTATTCTTGCTTTATTTGTGGTGGAATTGTTTACGTTGTCATCTGTACTTTTTTATCAACAATCAAGTAGTCTTGTCTGCATATGAATATGTTGATAATATTATTGTTGCTGTATATCTGCATGGTAAGCGGTAATTGAGACTAGCGAATATCGCTGATTATGCACTCTTCTCTCGACACACTTCCCCAGAATTCCAGCAGGAATTGTTCTGGATAACATTACATGCGAATAGACATATTCACATAAGTGATTCTGATCGGTGAATGAGGATGTGAAACGCTTCATTGCTCGTCCCTAAAACCTCACAGTCGCTGATCTAAAAATGTTTTACGCATTCATTTCGAGCTGTTTACGCATTCAATCCGAGCTGTTATGCATTTTCATTTTCAACATAATTTTTTGACTAAATATAATGACAGTAGTGGACTCAGGTGGCAGAGTACAATCCGAATTGATACCGCACTTCCAGCTGATTCTAATTAAACCTTCGAGTATTGTACATCAATGTTTTCTCTATTTTTGAAATTTTTTCGCTATCAAAAATACTAAAAGGAATTGGCACTTTGCTTTGCGACTGTTAAATCGAATTATGCCTGAGTCACTCTTGCGTATATTATTGAATTTGTCAATCGAAGCCTATCGTATTTTGTTTTGCGATTTCATTTTGTGGCTGGATTTTGAAGACCATCACAATCTTTATTCGTTTGCAAATCATGAATGCTGAAATTTAGAATATGTGAAGAGTGCATGCATTTCAAATTGTTCTCTACCTTGCATTTGCTGTCAAGTCATATGAGCTGCAACTTGTGAGGAGGAAGTGAATAGAGATCATTTCAACATGAATAACAAATTATATTGATTCTGCACGATTTTTTTTTTGTCGAGGAAACGGAATGTTGGAAAGAGAATGAGAACTGATTTAGGTTAGTGGTACGTCATGCTTCCAATAAATGCGAGTCTTAAAAGATGGATCATGATTCTGAATGGACTTTTCGTCTTTGGTGTATATCGTTTTCTTCGTAACGTGTCATTGATGATCCCCATTCCTTCGTTACCCATCCACCATCATAAGCCATCCGATAAACCAGCCACGGTTCATATCCAGAACGCCTTCTAAATAACTTTTTGATTAAGTAAAGTCGTGTTTGTTCCTAAAATGTTTTGCACGATAATGCATTACTTTCACTCGCATGCAGTAGTGACGAAATCCTGATCAACAGTGCGAAATATTGTGGGATCGAATGGCGCAGACGTGCGAAAATGGTGTAGTGCCGTGGGAAGGAATTTTGAAAAGCATCATTTATTCCAAATAAAGTGGTGTAAACACGGAATGTTATTGCAGGAACAAGAAAGTTGTGAGCAGTCGATTAAAAAAAACGCATATTTATGTTGAACGTCTGTTTGTTATTAGCACAGACTCCTTTTTAATGTTTGAACGACTCCAGGAAAGAGTTGTTGGATTTGGGTTATTTTTGTGTTTGTGAAGAATTCGATGATGTACGTCCCCGAGATTTTTTTTTNTTTTTTTTTCATTTATTCAGTTTGACTGCTATGGGATCAGTCAATCTTCGATTCAGAGCACTTTGCTGATTCGTCAGTTCATCAATAAAATTTGCTCGAAGTGAGACGAACTTAGCTACTGAACAGTTTCAAAGAATGTGTAATTACTATTTCATCTGGAATGGTATGTGTCTTTTAGTTACATAATAAATCTTCAATAAACACTATAAAAGTTCATCATTATAAAAGATCTGAACGTATCATATATTTATGAACATAACGTGCTAGTTTTACGCAAAAAGAAGCAGCACATAATAAGTGATGTTTCGTTCGTTTTTGGGAGCACAGTAGTGTAAATTGGGTGTGGATTTTGAGCACTTTATGCATCATTCATTCATTATGGAAATTGTGCATGGAACATTCGTTTACTTCAAAGTTCACTCCGTTCACGTTTCATTCTTAGGTTATTTGTAGGAATTTGATGACTGTCATCTAACGCTGCACATAAAAGAAATGAAGAACTTTTTTTTNTTTTTTTTCAAACGAATGAAGCTCTTAAAAGAAAACTTTTTCTGTATCAGTGCCGTGAGCAATCCTATTCAGTGTCCTTGTCAAACGTTTCTGCACGCCTTATTTCTGTTATGAGCGAACTGAATCAATATAATCTGGGTGTGAAGAGAGTTTAATTCTATAAGAGTTTAATTTGCGCAAATTTTTTACTGCAATATTAAAGAATGATCTGTACCATATTATGGTAGTGTTAGTGTTCAGTAATCTTCCATGCCACTTCCAAAGTTTAACCCATAATTTATCGACCTATTCGTGAACAAATGATAGAGCTGAAGCTTTCGATGAACAAAAAAGTTTTCGATGAAGAGATGGTCGAAGTTTCCCTGAATAACGAAATTAAGCCTAAAAATTCGCTTGCTAAATTTTTTGAACTAATTTCGGCGACAAAAAACCACTTAAATACTGTGCTAAATCATTGCTAAATTAATGGCAGCGATGCAATTGATAATTCTGATCAAGATTTATCTAATAATTATGATTTCTGCTATGTTCATGATATATTTTATAACTTTATTTTTGCGATCGCTCGATTGCTTAACTGTCCCTTAGCACGAAACTAAATCACCTATTGCTGGTTGAAAATAATTAAGTGAATAGATGGTGAAGAATAAATTCATAAGGACGCATTTTCAAAACTGCTTTTAAGTGCTGTGAAGTATCCTGCGGGTACGAATTGACTCATGTGGTGCGTTTATTTTTCACGAATTAGTTATTTCATTTCGTTGTGTTGGGTGTGTGCTGACAGCATAACTTTCTATAGCATATTCTGAGTGTCTAAATGTTTGGTAGTTATAATCGCACAGTGTTACATCATTCAATCAGCAACGTAACCTCGAGTAAACTTCATTATTGGAATCCATGGATAATGAATTATTTAATGAGATTCTTTGTGAGCCGCTGTAAGAGAGCATCAAAAACAAGTTCATAAGCATGTTAAGTAATAAAATGTGTGAAGTGTGATTAAATACCTAAGTCCATAAATTTATTAANTAATAAGATCAAGTAATAAGATACATTTGCGACATAATATTTTCCATGTAAAGTAATGTAATTAAAACGTGTGTGATTACGTCAGCTGCACACATGTTTACGCGAATCTTTTAATAAACTCCTTATTATCCAATTAGTTTTTCTCTACTCAAATTTTATTGATATTGTCGACTCCATGGGGCTTTCATATATCAAATACATGCTGGTGACTTAAGTGCAGTATTTGATGTTTATCACAGTTCGAGACAACCAGCAGGCACACCAATTTTTATTTGCTTAATAAACTATCAATTTCGGTGTTAACGCAGCAATCCGAACTCTAATAGAAAATGCGAATGCCTAAAGCACGAAATATGAATTGATGATCGATGCGCATCTCAAAACTGCATCGTTCAGATGGAAAGCTTGAAATAGACGAACGTCTGAAACGGATTGTTATGGAAAATATTTCTGATATTCGGAATGGAGTGAAATTACGGTAAAATAGGAGAAATTTGGAGTGTTTGGATTATTATTGGATAGAAGGATTTGAATGATTTTATTGCTATTCTTGTAAGTGGTTCTATAATTCCAGCAATTTTCATGAAATCTCCAACCAAACAATTAGTTATATATATATATATATATATATATATATATATATATAATTATTTCGTACTTCAAGTATTCACACACTGTATTTCTATCCTGAAGACGGCGTAGATACTGGAACATTGACTGCATGTCAAACAAATGAGTAAATAAATACTGCAGGTTCGCTGACTGTCCTAGATAATGATGAAGACCGAATATCGTCGATTTTTAATTTCAGTTTCACTATCCGATGACATATGATTCCATAATGAATGTTTATTTTCTCGATATCCCGGTGAAGGTTTCCTTCACATTCCGTACGCTTGTCCTTGCTTTCACACACACGGCAGTCAACTCCTAATTCGCTGAGTGCATCTCACCAGCTGATCCAGTCATTTTCGTTATTGTGGTTGTGTTGTTATTCATTATTATCAATGCTATTTGTTGTCATTATTGTTGATGCAGATGTTTCGCGTTTATTAACAGTACTATATATCTCACACGATTTTAATCATTTTCAGTCTTATTTTTAATATTCCGTTTATATTGTCACTGCTACTAGCAATGATCTGGTAACACTGGTAGTTGATAATATACGTCTCCAATTGAACTTTCAAGAAATGTATCGATACGATGAGAGAAAATGTGAGGTAAGAATGAGTCTCAGAAATGCTGCGTATCATCTGGGTGTTCGAGAAGTGATAATTGGTAATCTTATGCTGGGTATTTCGTCTCGTTCCGCAGTCATTTCCAAATGAGCATTATGCATAACACAGACACATATCTATACAACTACACTTTTATTGACTCTGCTTTCTGTTATCAAAATTTACTTGAATTGTGAGTATAGAATCAATCGATCTTTATTTGTTGTCAGATCGGTACTATCCGGNCCTGAAAAAATAGAAGATGTAGACGTTCGACTCTATCGAATAGTACTGATATGACAGCAAGTAAAGATGGATTGGTTTTATGCTCACAATTTGAGTAAATTTTGATAACTGAAAGCAGGGTTAAGTCAGCGAGATACTATTGATATGTGCTTGTGTTATGTATAATTATTGTGCTTATCGAGAGCAGCGAGAATATTTTAGGAAATAGTGATGATAGCTTTGATGTAATGAAGAGGGAAAAAAGAACGAAGAGAGGCTGAATGTGATTGAATTGAATGGATATATTAGTGATGGATGGAATGATACGGTGAGATTTAATGTGAATGTGTCCTCAGTTGGAATTTTATTCGCTTTGAAAATTCGTTTAATCAAATTCCCTAACAAATGCCTTTACATCAGTATTGCCCTCACTGATATCACTTCTCATTGAGCACTGTCATTCACTGTTCGAAGCAGCACCATCAGATTTTGACGGTTCATCTGCGCTGTCGTTGGAATTGAATTATTTCTCAAAACGGTTCCTATTGTCATCAACCTGTCACTTAGGTTATGAATGTCAATGATTACTTTAACTGTTCCAAAAAATCTTATCACTTCGACTTACCCTTTGATAGGAAAGTAACCGGGATTTTTCATTTTCCGACAAAGTTTTTAATATTCGTTTCGTTTATTTTAAAGCAGATTGATCTATAGTATCCTATTTTGTAAGTGATCTCCACGCAATTTTAGAATTCAGATGCTTTTTGAAGAATGAAAAAAGTTATCGGTAGTTCATCAAACAGCAAATGGAGTACTTCCTTTCAGAGGTGCAATAATTTGCTTGCCGTGCATAAATTGTTTCATCGCAATACATTTTTTGTCACAAGAATTGCCTTTATCGATGAAATAATTCAATATTGATGTTAATATCATCGCTGAAATACTGCAATATCATCCCAATACTTCAAACTCTTTACATTCATTCCAACTCCAATATGCTTAAAAATGTAGCACAGGCATTTTATTGAGAAAAATTCTCTTCAACCATTAATTCTACTGACATTAATATGCTCGAAGTCATCACCTGATTCTTCATAAATTTCTAATTCGAAAAAGTCTTTCAAAAGTTCCAAAGTATATTCAAATGAGTCTTCTAAAAGTTCCAAAGTATTCATTGCCTTTTAAAACAGCATCATGCACACGTCAACATTTTGAAATGAATGAATCACGTTTTTGTTCTGGTCGTTGGAATTTTTGTGTTTTAGATTGCATTGATTGCAAAGAAGAGTTTCTTTGAGGTTACTCATAAACTCATAAATTTCGATACGTAATATTTTGCGAGAATCAATTTGATGATCTTATTATTAGCAGAAATTTGGTTTCGACTCTGAATTGTTACGTTGCCATCGCTTTGAATGAATTTTCTCTGCAGTTGATAGCATACGTCTTGTGTTGAACAATATTCAGGATCATTTTTAGTCGATCAACCTTAACTGATTTGATAATTTTCAGAATGGTGTTTCAATCGTACGTGAATTGCATGTTTACGGCTCCATGGTTCCAGTGTATTCAAGAGATCCATCGAAATTCCAGCATCAAGGTTATGGGCAATTGTTGATGCAAGAAGCTGAACGTATAGCCAGAAACGAACATCATTCTTACAAGATTGCTGTTATCTCTGGTGTTGGTACTCGTAACTATTACAGGTTGGTGATTTTCTGTCTTTATTTCGTTTCTGCTGATTAGTAATTCAGTTTCTGTTATAGTTTTAGTAATTTGGTTTCGTTGAGTTTTATTTTGTTATTTTGTCACATTTTGTTTGAGTTTTGTGGGCAATATGACAAAATGAATTCGTGAACGTTTCGAAGTATGCAATTTTTAGTTCCATACAGTTTCAATCTGATCTCTGTTGTTAATGTGGTTAACGGTTCTATATGATGAATCGTCTCGTTAAGTTTTTCCAGTATTTCTTCTCTGCAGCTGTTAATAACCTATTGTTTGAACTAATGTTCCGTTTGCTGCCTGTCATTTATCAGTAGAAATGGTGTCTTCGAATATCACCTCATTCAGTGTTTATCTATTGCATTACGGTAGTGCTTCTCGAATGCATTTTAAGTTGTAGTTTAGGGATTATTATTCGGGTTTAACTTTTGTTGAAAGTTTCTCTGCAACAGAATTGCATGTGTGATACATTCATTTCTTCTTGCATTTTCTTTAACTACATATCCCTAATGAATATTTATTTGTTTCCTAGGCGATAAGTAGTGAATATTCTCCGTTGGTTTGTCGACTCAAGTTGGCCCGTTCCTGTTTTTATTCAATTTGAAGCTTTATCGCCGCTAATCATGTAATTTTTAGAGTGGTAACATAAAATTATATCTCACAATCAGTATAATCACATTTCACTGATCATAGCCGTTCGCTTTCATTATCCATTAAAACCTTGGCTCGTTCATGTACCTTGTGTTAATGCGAGCAAAGTTGCTTTCATTCTGTTAGATAAATTCCTTGCTCAGTGACCAAACAACTTCAAATTCCACACGAAATTCCATTCGAAACTTCATCAGACTTATAATGAATGGTCCACTTTTGATTGATATCGCATTCTGTCGAGATGATAAGTTAGTTGTTCATTTATGTTCGAGTATTTCTGAGTTCTGGTTCGAATGACGACGAATTTGATGTTCAAAAATTTCATGAATCTGTCATTATGCATTGCGTAATGTCAAGCTGGCAATTACCCGTCGCATTCGCGCTATCGCACTTTCGTGTTTGAAATGAATATAACAAACTTATTATCGACAACTCTCTTGCGTTCGATGCATGAACTCATGAGCGCGCATTGAATTGAGACAAAGACTCCGATATGTGTTCAATTTCCGATACTTTCTCCTAGTTGAATTCTGAAAGTTTTAATTGCTACCATGTTCTTTCTTTTCTCAAAGCCAATCTCAGCTCTGTTTTCTCAAAGTCTAGTCAGTCTCATTGTCTGCGTCATATAATCTCGTTTCACTGAGAATTCGAAGTTGAATTCCGTAAGCGTTAGTTGATTGAAAGAAGTAACATCGGAATTAAATTATGGATTGAGTCACATAATGCGAATAGATTTTTACCTCTTAGATGCTCTTAAAAAATTGTCACGCTTAGGTCTACTACTTTAAGATTGTCAGGTTCTTTTAAAAGTGCTCAGGAATGGCCGTTCACTCGCAGTCTCATAGGAGACTTCATATTCTAATTGAACCCTTTGTTGTGATTCTACCATTCAAGAGCAGTAAACACAACCAATAGAGGAGAGTGCTCGCTTTCGGCACTAGTTAAATCTCAGTTCGCTCGCTCAAATATCCTTTCAAGTCATACAATTCATTGATTGTATCGTATCTTCCGTTCATTATATCATTCCCTTCGCACGGCTATTCACAGTGATTCATTCTGTAACATGAAAATTTTCGTCACTTTCTGTTACTTTGGTTTGTTTGTTGTTACCATCAATGCACTATTGAATTCTGTCGAGTACGCTTCATTTATTTCAATCACAGAATAATCTATTCTCAAGATCACAACTTGAAGCCTTCCTCATGGTCAGTAATGACATCAGCAGACTTTCTTGTATGTGCAGCGATTTATGGCACTCATTGAACTCTCAATATAACCGTGCTCGCCACTTGACTTCCACGAACTTCAATCCTTTAAATAATGTTTTTCACCGATACATTTCAAAAAAAGTGTATACCTTGAAGTTCATTTGCAAACTGCAAGATGCATACGGACAGACTGCATGCAGTTCTTATTTAGACGAACAAAAATATGCTTCGCTTGTTTTCATTTTTATGTGCCATGCAGGAATGTCTGGATGTCCATTCGAATATCCTAGTTCTTGTTAATTAGTGTTTTGCGCGACGTTATGGAGATTTTTTGAGTGCTGACCGTACGACTGAAACGAACGAGTACAACCCATAACCGAGTGCAAACAAACAAGACACTGAGTTTGCGTACTTCAGAATTCATGTAAATGTTGCGATGATTGATTTTCATTGCTTCATTATAAATAATTCATAATTTCGCTTTTCATGATATTTGGCATTGTTTAAAGTAAAGCCTATCTTTGTTTGCCTACTTCAAAATTCATATAAAACTCAGTTTCAATTCTCCATCATGCGTGAGTGAAACTTTCGAAAGTGTCACACATGCACGGCATAGTTTCAGATGGAATCTGGAAAAAAATGGTTTTGTGCTTGGACTTCACGATTGCATTGTGTTGGGGAGTTTGAGACGCTGAAAACGGGAGCAGAAGTGGGATTTCTTGAACAACGAAAATCCTATATTTAAATTTTCGTGATTAATTCGTGTTGAAAGGTGTTGATCTGTGTTCGTGATGATGAAAGTATGGCAGTAAATTAGCATCCATTAGGAAGAAAACGTTTTTTCGCTTTGATAGGTTTGAGGGAGAAAGTAAACATTTGAGAATGCTCAGTTTCAATTCTTTACAAAGTTTCCGTATTCCAACTCGATTGTGTATATCAGTTCATTCAGCTTGAATTGGTTTCTAACTCTTAGCTCCATCACTGAATTAGGTAATTCCCATCGAAAATCGAGAAGAAATTTGAGCACAAGATTGAAAACGAACGCAATATTCAAGAAAAATTAGTACAGTTGATTTGTTTCGCTCAATCAAACAACCGACTTTCACAGTTGGTCAGTGAAGGGTTTCGAGCATGCTTTAACAATGTTTAGAAGAAACTTAACATAATCTAGTTGTCCATTGTTACCGGAAAGAAAGGCCTAAATCGCCATCGAGTAAATAAATATACGGATATCAAAACATCATCGGTGTTGATTTGCAATGTTGGATGAATGAGTGTGATGTTCGTTCATGGAAATGGTATTCGTATTCATAAATCATACATGATTTGGCCAGTTTCCATATCAAGAATTCAGTGAAGTTTCAGTAAACATGCGAGATGAGATTCGCATGAAATCATTTAGATTTCGAATTGTATTCGTTAACTTTGCAATCTTATTCTCTTGCAATTGCACTTACAATTAGCTACACTCACAATCAGATGTCGGTGAATTATTGCATGAGAACGATGAGTTGTTGTGCGAATGTGTGAATGATTCTTCTGAAAAGCAAATATTAATTCTCAACATTTTCTGCTTACATATTATTCGAAAATTGTGTGCAAAAAACATTTTCAATTGATCATTATTGCAGTTGAATATATTTAATCTCATCAATTCTCATAGCGAATAATCCCAATATTATTTCTGAGCAATTCATGCCATTTTATAGCCATTTTCAACGAAATCCCTAACGATAATCCCAGAAATTTAGATGTTGGTCGTATGTGTTGTTTAGATGATCTAGGCATTAGTCATATTTTATGCATTCTTAATGTCAATTAGTACTATATTTATGAACGGTGACTCAATGAGAAAAGTTATTTGAATGTAGACATGTCATTGCAAAGCAATCTGTAACGTTATATATAAGTTCAAGAAGTCAAAATTTAGTTATTGGTTATGTCACGTTAATGTGCGTCATGTGTAATCATGGTTATCTGAATGAGGAAGAAATATGCATACGTCTTAATGCGACGTTTCGATGAGCATCGCGAAATTACAAAATTCGATCATCTGAAAGAGCAGTGTTGGTGCAATTTTGAAAGCATCTGCGCTTTCTTTACTAGCGAGTAGTTGTTGGAAAGGCTGTTCTCGTCTCGAATCTTCAGTGTGCATCATAAATCGAATTTATAAATATTCTCGCTCTTATCACCTGCGTTTTGTTTGCATTCACTTTTTATGACAGTTTGCGATGAAATCCGCAACGATCTAATCGACGTCTTTCTTCTCATCACGTTCCATTTCTCACCAATCGGTTGGTTTCCATTCGTTCCACTGCTCATCAACAATATAATTCTTTCAAACCAATTTTTGTACTGTTTTGTTTTTCACATAATTATTCATAACGATTCTTCAACGCATTGTAAAACAATTTGTTCGTCTCGAATCACTTTTTGCACTGAAATTTGGAATGCAGACTTTCGGTGCTGCACTGTCAGAAGGCAGTGTTCAGTTTGGATTTGCTTTCACCGGCTGCAGCCACTGCCGTTCATCGTATCGAATGAAAACGAATTTCATCTGATAAGGTTCAAAATTGATCTTGTTCAATCTTTTTTGATATACTCGATCTGTCATTAATTAGTCTCATAAATAATATTTCATTCTATGAGTTCGCCTTAATGGTTTTCTTTTTCAAATAATAATTCAAAAAATAGCGATTTATTATAAGGAAATTATTGTTTTTAAGCGCATCATCCAGCGCATTTTTCCAAGTATGACGACGTTTCGGTGCTCACATTCACCCGTATTCGAAAACTGCTTTAAGCTGCTTATTGAGCCTGCTGTTTGCCTCAAGAAATTGCTTCAGAGCAGTAAATAAGAGAGTTTAAGTCTCTCATGAATTCGATCGTTCTAATGAGAAATAGTTTCCGTGAACGATCGATTCCCGTACACTTCCCTTCGTTTTGAACAAAGCTTTCCGCTTACTTTGAGTATTCGCTCAAGAGATCCTTTGAGAAAAAACAACATATAGCGAATTATCGTATCCAAACGGATTATATTTTACTTGATCCCTGGAAAGTGCCTTACCGTCGAGCATAATCTGTCTCATTAAATAAAAATATGATCTAATCTCCATTCATGCTGTAATTATCTACCGTATTCATGCGTTTTGTCTTTCACCATCATCAAACACATTTTCAGTTGATTTTTCATTTTCACTGCGAGAAAATAGATTTTCATTCCCCACCTTTTGGTGTGAATGAAAGTATTCCAACGTGATATCATTTGAAACAAAACATTCACCTGTTTCTTTCTTTTCATATTCATTCGATGAAATTAATTGTAGATTGAAATTGTTTCGAAAATTTTTTATTCCTCTGTGAGCGGAATACAGTAAATTTAGCAGCAGTGACGACTCATAGCTTCGGTCGGTATATCGTTCGTAAATTTTTTTATCGTTTTCGAACGGTAACCGTTGTTTTCATGGTTTTGTTCGCATGCTTTGCAAATAATACATTTATCTCATTATTTTATCAGCAATGAATGCTACATTTTGAATGACTGCTGGCGTGGCAATTGGTTATTATCATCACTCTGTACGAACTCATTAATTTTTACGGTTACGTC